ATATGCACTAAGAAGTAATATCCTGATTCACATTTCAATATCACAAAAGAATCACCACAGGATCATAAGAAAGTGCACACATTTTGTTGAGTAAAACAGTTAAAGAAGTTTTATTGCTCAATAGAAAGATAAGTAATCAAACAGGAAATCACAAAACTTGGAATTTAGTACAACACATCAAATGCTGAATCAATCGTTTTACAAAGGTAAAATACTGTGAAGACGAGTGAAATCAATAATGTTGTACAGAACAACAACCATGCTCAGTGCCAGAATACTTGAGATAATGGTTCTATCATTGGACTGTTTAAAAAACAATCGTCTTTTCCATCAAATCACTTCCCGCCACCCAGGCTTCTAGCAAAGTAGCATTATCCACAGAACAATCGGGATCACATAGTACAATCCAAAACTAAAGACCCTTTAAAAGTAAAATACAATCTCAATAATAACAAACAAACTACAATTGTACAAGTGACAAAAATCAAAAAGCCACTTATGGTGTTGGAAGAAGATAGAGTTTATTACAGAGATATCTCAAAGTGTTCATACGTTTCAGAATTCAGTGAATCCATGAGAAAAAATTCCTAAGAATTGGAGCTGCTACCACCACCACTTCCAGAATTCGCATTAGCCTGACAATACATAATCCTTGGTGAGTAGTTGCTTAATTGAGACTTGTCAACCAGAAGACAACGATATTTTTCAATTATTAACTAAAATGAAGCTATTCTACTTCAAAATGGATCCTAATTTTTTTTTTATGACAATTTTGCTTCATGTAGTCTATTTGTACACTACACTCCAAAAATGTCTACTTTAGATTACACAACTTTAATTAATTTAATTCTAACAATGAAAACAGACACAAAATTAAAATTATGATTTTGACAATGAGAAAACGACTAAAAACTATACCAAAATAAGAAAAAAAATAAAAACTTGGAAATTTCGGAAGCAAATGTAGTTAAGATTCATGGTTTCACTTAACCGTCGCCTAATTAATTTCTCCACAAGCCAATTAACAAATTAATCATTTACAATGTTAAATCCAATTTTCCAATTTTAGTTAATTGTCTCTCTCGAACGATATTTTCCCTAATTGATCGGTTTAATCTACTATATCTCTATATTGATTAAAACTAAACAACCGTAATAAATCTTGGTGAAAATAGCTCATTGAGTCACTAGGGTGAGAGATATATCTCTAACCCATACACAAACCTAGGATTTCTGCTATTTGGTTTAAAATATACAATCTTCTCTCGAACGATATATAAATCATTAAACACAATAATTCATTGGTCACATGAATGAAAATGCAATAATAATAATAGTAAAAACACATTGAAATAGGCATTTTAATATTAAAAAGCAAATATTGAAATTAATTAAGGCTAGGTAAAATTACAACCATAAATCCCAACATTAATAGCTAGCCCGTTTTATACAAATAAAGAAAAGGAGAAATATTTCTTACAATACATTGCAAATATGAGATAATAATGAAGAAAATACAAAGTGAAGATAAGGATTCTTGATAGCTTGATCTTGATTTCCCCCAACTATTTTTCCAAATGTACTCTCCTTTGTGCTCTTGATTTTGCCCCAAGATACCAAGAAAAATGAAAAGAAAAACAAGAAAAGAAAGGAAGGAAGGAGAAAGAAAGAAAGAAAGAAAAATCAAAGAAAATGAAAGAGGAAGAAGACCCAACGAAAGAAGCCCTAGAAGTGACCAACAAATTGGTATTTAAATAACCAAAAATCGCCTCAGGTGAAATTACAGAAAAAGTCCCAAAATTTACATGAAATAGGAAAAAATTGACTACCCAGGAGATGACGAATGTGCCTTGAGACCATTTTAGTCTCGGTAAATCACAAAGGCTTTCCCCGCACGCGCCATAATAAGCTTGCCTGTATGTACCGATTTTCTTCATTTTTTTTCCAACTTAGTCCTCCATTTAATTGTACGAAAGGCCCATCAACTTTGATGTTGTACAATTTGGTACTCGAATTTTGACTTTTATATCAATTTTGCCCTCCATAAATTGTAGCCCGAGGTCCTCAACTTTCGGCACTTGTTGCACTTTGGTCCCCATTTCACATTTATGTACGCTTTTAGTCCATTTTTACTCCATTTTGCATTTGTTCTATTTCCTTGGGTGATTTTTACCTACAAATGCAATAATTACATAATTGTGAATAGAAAATCGCTCACTTACTCAATATTTAAGCTTATTCAAGTATTAAAGAATTGTGCAAAAACACACTTATCAAATACCCCCAAACTTAAGTTCTTCCTCATCCCGACCAAGATTATCAACTATCACAATTATGTAAAAAGAGATAAAGATCACACATTAGATAACTTGCCAAAAATATCAATGAGTATAAAATTGTATAATCAATTCACAAATATACTCCAACTAATGCTAACAAAATAATTTAAGCTTATCCAATGTTCGATTGGTGTGTGTACAATCACTTTCAATTATCATCTAAATTAGGAAGAATCTATCAAGACGGAAAAATTTTCGAATTGGCTCCAACCTAACCCTTTGTGATCCCTATCCCACTCGTGAGATTTACACTCATCAAATAGCTGTAATTATTCTTTTTCCAAGGTGTAAATTTAAAGGTTGCACTCCAATTATTATTATTATTATTATTATTATTATTTTTGGGTGTTCACTCTTGTTTGGTTGGGCCTAATCGGCAATCTCAACATCCAGTCACATGATGATTCTCCACTAATTAGCGCTTCCACATTCAAGCTTATACTAAATAATTTAAACCCACTAGTTATCTAAACCCAAATATCAATCACAATTGTACAACAAAAAAAAAATTTCTTTCTTTTTTTTAAATCTCATATTTTACATCACTTCTTTAAACTTTCTTCTTGACCTTTGTTGAGTGTCTAATCAATTTATGAGGTTTAAGGTTAAATTAGATGAAAAATGAAAGAGTCGTTATTAGTGTTGGAAAAACAGATAAAGAAAGCAACTTGATTTTGAAATTTTAAGTGGAAAGTGCTTGTTTTTATTTTGTGACTAAAACGTTCTTATCGTCTTTTTAATATAATAATATTTTTGTAATTTAATAACTTTGTTAAGGATATTTTTGTCTTTTGCAATTGAAAGGTCATTGTAGTGAATAAATAGAAAGTTAAGACTTGTATGATGAATGGCAAGTTTGACGTGTTCATTTTGAAAATCCTCCATCTTCTTTCACCAATCCCCACGGTTACACCCCATGCAACCTAAAATCAAAGTCAAAACCAAAATCACAGCATCTGCATTTGCCGATGCCACTGCTCCACCCACCTACCTGTTTCACCACCATCACAAACTATCTCTTTCAACCAAAAATTAAACCTGCTTCAGCCCTTCGTTTTCAACCATATAATTGATGTTCCCATTTCCCTAAGCTAGAAACAAAATCATAGAATAAAAACATAAAATAATAATTTCTTCAACTCCCAAACTAATTTAATTCTTAATTGAATCATTCCATCTTCCTTTTGTTCTAGTTAACCGGTGTCCAGTTAGGTTTTCTTACCAATAGTGCGCTTATTGTTATGCATCCAGACTTGGAGCACGTGCCTTCTAATTCCTACTTCGTTGCAGAATTGCGGCACCAATTCCTCATCTTGTTTTCGAATCTTCCACCCCAAGCATTCAGCCGAATTCAGCATCTCGTCTTTCTACACTTGTGTAAACTTGGTTGAGAACCTTTTCTTCCGTGCTTTGCGTTAGATATTTATACAATATATATAATATAAGATAGAAATAACTAATTTAGATAAAATGTTCAGAAGTGTGGAATTTGTGTGGGAGATTAGGGGGTTGGGCCACATTCAACACAATAATTAAAAAAATTTTGATTGAACCTTGGAATCTTGGGCACTTAGATTTTCTTGATTAAAATAATATTCTTTTATTTATGTTAATCATTTTTGAAATTATTTAATTGGTCAAACTAGCTAGTATAATATGACAGTTATTAAACAACTCATTATCCATAACTTACTAAGCCCTTGTTTGAACCCCATTTTTTTTGGAAAAATGCATCTTTTAACAATGTTTTGACATAATTTCAACCACATATTCTTTAATAAAATAATATTATACACAAATCCAAAATTTTTCCTTATTTTTTTACCATACATTTCCCATCAATACACTATTCAAAAATTCATTCTTCCCCAAAAATGGGGCTCAAACAAGGGCTAAAACTACAAATAATTATGGATCATTGTGGAGGCAGTTATATCTATTTTTTCTATATAAACACACATCTGGTTTTGGAAAAGTGACATAAAAGAATGAAATTATCATTTTCGTATTCTATAATTTTTCATACTCAAGTTTTACAATTATATCTATTTTCTCGAATACATTTGAGAGTTCTGAAATCATTCAAAATTGCAACACAAGTGATTTGTTTGATTGCTGTATTTTAGAAGTTATTGTCCACAAAGATCGTAGCAGTTAACGATAGGCAATTTCACATTAGGACGTTATGCTATTATGAAACTTGATCAATCAATAAATTTTACTTTGTGCATTTTACAGTTATGCAATTTACTGCAGCTAATTATCCAACACACTATTGCTAGGATCGGAATTCAGTTTCGAGTCTTGATTTTTGATGAACGGATTGTGGGTAGGCGCGGAGCCAGCACCCGACGAGGGGGCGCGGCTGCTTGTACTGGCTCTGCCGAAATGTCTAGGAGTGCCGGGCGCCGTCGGGTAGCAACAATGAAGTTGCAGGAGCCAGGAATACGTAAGGAAAGAGATGAGTTCAAATTTTATTTTATTTATTTTTTTTTTTTTGGGTTTCACTTTGGGCTGATGAACTGATGAAGGATGATCACTGATCACAAAATGGTCCTTGGACATTATTTGGGCCTTTTTTTGTTTTACAAAATTAGGCCCAATTTTGCATACAAATTACCAATAAATTACTACCCCAAATTCCCAATCCGAGTCCGGCAATCCCCAAATGAAGAATGGTCCAATTCCAAATAGTAAACTCCACCAAATTGAGTAATCGACTCTCAATTTCTCATTCCCAAATCCAAAAGTTAGAAAACCCTTTTCTTCCCTTCCTAAATCCGTTCAACCGCGCCTGCGCCGCCAGCCATTAGCCAAGTCCAAAAGCTCAATTTCTCATTCCCAAATCCAAAAGTTAGAAAACCCTTTTCTTCCCTTCCTAAATCCGTTCAACCGCGCTTGCGCCGCCAGCCATTAGCCAAGTCCAAAAGCTTAAAGCCAGTGTTTCTTCTTCTGCCGAGTTCGATTGCCGTTCCGGGGTTATGCGCCTGCTTCTGACTTCCTGTTTAGTCGTTCTGGTCAACAGACAGCAGGGAAGAAAATTCGGCTTTGCAAGTTCGCCTGGTGTGGTGAGTGGTTTCCGTTCTATTTCATAATTTTCATTGCTGTTTTTTTATTTTTTGCGTATTGTTTTTGACATTTTGTTCTATTTTGTTGGCTATTTCTAGTTGATTTGTTGAATAAATAATAATGAATGTTGTTAAACTTGTTATCTCATGCCTGTAGACTGTAAATTGTGTTAATTGTTAATTTGTTATTACTTATTAGTCTTATAAGTTATAAATTTGAGTTATGATTTATGTTTTGACAGTTTTGTGACTTGTGACTTGTGAGTTATTATGGAGAATTGTTGTTATTTATGATAAGTAATTTATACTTTATGAGACATGAGTTATGATTATTGATTTGGGAATTTATGTTTAGGAAATTAGGATAAGTAAATTTTTATTTTTAGTATTTTGGGTTGTATTGAAGTATATTTTCACATATATATAATTTTGTCGCTTTAGTTCTTTTACATATATATATTGAATAACTTTTAATATTATTTAATCAAATTTTAAATAAGGGTCGGACTATTACGATCGTTGATTGTCGACGGTCAACGATCAATCTTCGCCCTAGCTGGACTTCGATCCTGGATTCGCCCGAGTGTGGGAAGTCAGCCTCGAGTCCTCAAATTTACAAAAATAATGTGCCGGCTGGAAGTTATTTTCCCATGGGGATTTCGGCATCAAAGCCATCTTCCAATTTAAAGAAGGTCTTCATTTGTTGATTCTTCATACTTTGCTTCACAAAATAGGACGAATCTGATCAAAGACGTAGATCCCTTTCATTCACACTACATGCTCCAACCAGTGCCTAATGGAAGAAATAGATTACCTTTTCGTGTAGAGTGCCTCATGGGGTGTTGAAGATTTCCAGTAGTGCCGACGGGGATTACCTTCAGCCAACGGGTTGTGGTGGTGGTGATTGTCCAGTGAAGGCAATGGGGATTTTGATTTTGGGGTGCAATGAGGTGGGGTGGGGGTGGGAATGGTTAGAAGAGTGGGGATTGGGGGATGAAGATGACTTTTGTTTTCCTTTTCCTTTTTAATTATTTTATATGATAAAATTATAAAGCTATCATTTTACCCTTCACTTAATTAGTTAAAAAAGTCAGATTTTATTTTGGTAGTCAACTAATGACATTTTGAATGGAAACCATCCAAAAAGGTCTCACATGCAACAGTTGAAAATATTAGGGGTGACGACTGCAATAATTGAAATGTTTGAGAAAAGCCTGCAAGTGTTTCAAAGATTGAGAGCTTTTGCTGCAATTATCCCTTAAAAAATGAGGAAATTAAAAAAAAAAAAAGAAGCATCCGTGTACAAGAACAAAACAGGTTAAGGAAACAAGAAACATATCAATCAGGAACCCAGTTAGAAACGAAAGAATTGGGATATGCATTGCCGACAATTGAGAGGCTGGCATTAAAGATTTGAAATGGTCTTTCTATTCTTTATTACTGATCTTTTAAAAATTAAACGCCGCCTTTCAATATTATATGTCACAAGTACCAACTCCTTTATTATCGTTTAGTTCGATTTCATTGTAATCTAGTTTCTTTATTGATGGTAGTTTAGTATATTTCATACGTTAGAATTTTGCACTTGATTACCTTGTTTGTAGCCCCACTGTCATAATATGATTGTATCTTGTTCATCACGAGCATCCACTACCTGCACGAACATTCCACGTCCACCACATGAAACTTCACTTTGCATCCAGCTGATTGACGAGTACTCTTTTCACTTTTATCTTTTGTCCACATTCTTCGCACCACCAAATAACTCAGAATTCTAACAGATTATATGATGTTGATAACTAAAAATGGCATGAAACTTTAGATTAACTTAGGGAATTTTTCGTCGAATAATTGTGTAATATTTGCTGGGATTTTATGTAATAATTATGTAATTTGCAAGAATTCTAGTATAAGTCGTGTTGAGAGATTTCAACAGCGTGGCCCTTGTCAATGAGCTTTTGGCCCTATGTATAGACCACCAAATTGGAGCTTGTCGCCCTAATTATGTAATTGTAAAATGTTTGATCTACGCTTGTGTGCCATTGCCTTTTTTCGAAAGGATTTAATTGGCTGAGGAATTTGATGGCGAGATCATTATGATGCATAGGCGTAGCACTGCATCTTAGGCCATCATTATTTCTTTTTGATTGATTTTTGCGGATAATGATGCCATCCAAGGGGAACACTTTTTCAGCAACGTTATATGATTAGGTTTCTAGATTACATCTTCCGTGATGACCTCTATGGTGTGCCTTAGTTGGCCTTTTGCGCTATCATGTTTGATTTTGAGAAAGACTCCTTTGACCATATTAAAGTGGACCCTCAATTGATATGGTGTGAATTTTCACATCGACGCCAATATATGCCAAATTTGGAGGTCAAAATGAATAAATTTTTTGATCTCTGGAATCAATCTTTCTTCTCAGAAAAAGAAAATTAAGTTCAAATAAGAGAATAATGTGACATTAAAAAGTCCTCTTGGGACCTTGATAGTGAATATTGATAACCAAAATCCTTTCTTCCCTCCACTGCTTGCATTGAACCCTATCCCTCACCAACGTAAAAATGTTCTGATTGGGTCCTTTGCTACATTACTAAATTCCATCATTAGACATTTTTCTTCCACCAGCTATATATTTTCAGAACTCAGTTATTCTCTTGTACATGGAATTTTGTACAGGGTGTATTCCGATGCTGCGCTGGCAGTACTTATATGGTTGCCTTTATTTATTTATTTTTATTTTGGCTAACTTTTAATGTGAAAATGCCAAGTGTGCCCTATAAATTCCTTGTATAGTTTTTCCTTGTACACAGCAGGGTCAAAATGACGGTTAATTGAAGTTGTCGTTTCTTGAATCACACCATAGAGAAAACCCAATGCTTCAAGTAGAACCTGTTGGCATTTAAATTTATCATTCACAAAGATTTATCCGATGCTTCAGATATTTCATGGCATTGTTCATTGACCAAAACTGATGGACGTGCTAAGAAAAACTCGGCGGTTCCTCATTATAATTTTTCAAATAAATTCCAACTCCAAAGTAGGAAAATACAAGAAACCCACCACACAATATATTCTAACTTCTGGCATTTCACTGATGCAACATAATACAGAAAAATGCAGTTCACCGAAGCATAAATGCTTTGATTAAAAGTTCTTATCTTTCAAGTTTGAGAACATAAGTCTATTTTACAAACTAAAGTTACAGATCTCATCCCTGAGAATCTTGAAGGCACATCGCCATAATAACTGCGGGAAAAGATTAAAAACACGGATCAATCAAGAAAAACTTTGATATCAATGCCACTATCAATGAGGGACTGAAAAACTGCTCTAATTTTTCCTCCGAACTTGTCTCTCTCTCTAGGAGTATAAGAAGATGTGCGCACATCTGCTTCTCTTGCTCTATCAGCCAAAATTCGGCCCACGGGCTGAACATGTAGGTACATCAGATTGTGATGTAAGTACTGGCTTGATATCTTTGGAGTCGGTACTAGCGACTGCAACCTGCTTGCTCGTTACTGTGTGTGATTGAGGTGGAAACAAAGCGCTTTGATACGAAGACATCAAGAGTAAATGGCTCCATGTAAGCTACAGTACGTTGCTTAAAGGATACATGCTTGTTCGGATTTTTTGACTTTTTCTCCTTCTGGTAAGTATACGGTCTGCTGTTGTCATCATCAAGAAAATCTTCCACCCCAAAAATGCTTCTTGGAGGAAAATTAGACTGTTAAAATATAAAGAAACGCATATGAACATAAAAAAACTTTCAAACCTTAAAGAGAACTCCAAACGCAAACAGATGCATGTTCCATTGCTATTGCAAGGCACTTTTTAAATTCAAAATTCAAAGCTTTAGTAGATTTTTAAGTTTGGGTACATCAAGCTTCCAATAACTTTCCACTTTTTTTCTAGAGAAATAAACAAGCAGCTCTGACATGGGTTCTTAAGGGAAACAGCTAACTTCTGCTGAACTCATAATAGGAGGGTAGGACTCAAGCTTTATATTTGAGCATGTTAAAAATGTGGATGCATATAATTAAGATGTTCTATTATAGAATTTCCTTTTACTAACACTCCAAGGCCTAAATGCACATCGCTTTAAATGAAGGTAGACTCTATCAAGGCCCATATATCGTTCAAAACAGCCATTTCCTCAAATCAATCTTGTTTAGGGTACTTCCCTTCGTTGAGACGTGCTTCTGTCTACTCTATTCTAATTTCTACGAACAAGACGACGGGGAAGACGAACAAACAAGTGCAAAAGGTTTGAAGAATTGGCCATACTCTCAACCCAAAAAATTCCCTAACCGTCAGTGTGAATTTTCTGCCATATTGACTTAACCGGCAATTTCTCGACTCTCAGGTGTCGTTTTTCTGTTTCATTCTTTTACGTATTTATTTTTGCCACATTTTGATTGATTGTATCACTTATTACAAGAAATTTCGTGATTTTGTAATTAGGGTTTTGGCGGTTGGGACTATGAAGCAAGTTTGTGAATAATTATGTCTGTCTGTCTGTCTGTCTATTGCTTCTTGTTTGGGTTCGAGCTGAAGCTCTTTCAATTTGATTGGTTTTCCCGGGGTCTGTTTCGGTTATTAAGTGAGTTTATAGGAAAATCAGATAGATTGTTTTTCAGGAAATGTGGTTTTGATGGGAATTTGTGTTCAAATATTTCATCTTGCAAATGTGGGCTATCAAAATGCTTGAAGAATTCTAATGGACCGCCTTTACTTGTAACTTACTAAAAAGACCCAATTGCTCCCAAAACCCCAAAAGGAAATCTATAAATAGGTCTGCCTAGAAGAAAAAAGGGATGCAAATTTTAATATCTTTATCTAAATAGCATTTTTTTGTCTTGTTCCTTACTGAGCATCAGGTACAGAGAGAATAGGAGGAGAAAATCCAGGTTAGTTTAAAGAAATTTGTTGATCATAAATCTGTTATTAACAATAATTAATAATTTCTACTTCAGTAATTTCTTTGCATTTATTTCAGTCTACTAATCTGCTTCTGCGGCTCTTTGTTTGAATATGTTTTATTGTTAGATTATTTAATGTTTGCATGTCAGTTCGATTGAGTTAATTTGGGGGATATTTAGTTGGTTGCTTTGTTGTTTATATATGTCGTCACTTCAATTGAGTTAATTCGTGTTCATGTTCAGTGTTTGGGCCTTTCCCTGTTGGTAAAATTGAGTAGAACTGCATTGCTTTGTCGGTTCAATTGCGCATATGGAAATGTGGTGATGCATTTTGGATTAATTATGACTCATATAATGACGTATGTTTATCAATTAAGCAGGTGCACATCAGTCGCGCCCTCACCGTAATAGTTTTCTTGTTCCACCGCTGTATGTGTGTGAATTCCTCTCCAATGCTTTGCTACAGTAGTTTAATTGATGATCATATTATCTAAACCCACTATAATGGATTTGGAGTTAGTTTCAACTGAATAAGTGTTCAATCATAAACAAGTGATCAGAAATAGAAGAACTTGTCTAACCTAATCTTACATTCTACCTATTCTATCAGATGCTCCAAAAAAAGATGCATTCAGTATTATGCTTCCAATACTTTGCCGAATCAAATGTTATGTGCATAGGTGTGTGTGGGTGAACTTATGAAGCTTGAAATTCTCATATTTATGAGAGTGAATTTAAGTTTCAACTGATGGATATACTCTTTATCTGGTAATGTTATTAGGAGTTTTGAGTACGCGTTACAATGCTGAGGCTTTTGAGTTGCAAGTTATGGGAACGTGTGAATGGAGGAATTAATATCGGACCATTATCATGTGCACAATCAAGTGGTTTTCACAGTTCTCAGGTATGCATAGGATATTCTCATAACCAATTCTATCTAGTCAAATTACTTTTTTGAATAGATTTGTATGTGTGTTTGCTCGCAAGCTGATTTTATATGAATAATCGACTTTTTCCTTTTCTGTTAAGAGATGGGAATTTATTCCTCCTTGAAGAATATGCCAGATTAAGGTTTCATCTTCAGGTTTTACCCATTTAATGTTATCTACCTGTATCTTTTGTAATCATCACTTATCTCAACGCACTGTCTAGTTATATAAAATCACAAAATTATCACTATCTTCCTGTAAAGTAAAGAGAGAGAGAGAGACAGGACACTGGAATGCTAAAATCACTTTTAAATCATAAAAACTCAGTATTTTTTCCTGGTGCTAAACATGTATCCTTGAATTGCTTCATTGATACAGAAACTTTTTAGTCGAAATTTTGGGTTACTCATTCATTAAGTTATTGCTTCAACATTTTGGGTGCTTTGTGTAGAAATAGATAAGTAATAAATGGCTATTGCAATTGCACAGAGTGACAAACATTATCCTGCATCCATGGTAGCTGTCAAATCAACAATTGGGATAAGTATTGCTTGAGAAGTGTGCTAAATCTAGAGATGAAAATAGAAATTGAGTTTTTCTTATTTATGCAAGTAATAATTTTCTAGCGGTGGAATAGCTTATTCAATGATTTCTTGTTGCCATTGTTGTTTGAGTTCTATTTCATCTGGCCACCAGGAAGGGTTTCTAGGTTTATCTGGTAGATATAAAATAAACAAGGCAAAAGTGGGTGAACTTTTTGATGTATCAGCAATCGTGTATGAAGTCATTTATTAGCCTGATTTCATAGGTCAACATGGAGTCTTTGAGAATCTAGCCTCAGAGGTAAGGTTAGCGAAGTCTAAACTTACATTTTCCTGCAACCATGGGAACCACTACTTCCAATGCAAAGGCATCAATTGAACTTATTAAGAGAGATCCTATGAAGTATGCTTGTAAAAACAAGAAAGAAAGAAGAATCTTTGCCTGTTGCGCTTTCAAGAGCAGTATCACCCTTCAACCTGCATGATGTTGAAGTGACTAAGATTTGTTTTGGCGTTTCTTTCAAGCTGAAAGAAATTATATTGTTATATAGTCTCTTAGAGTCTATTTTCATTTAAAGCAACGTGTGTTTAAGCCTTGGAGTGTTAGTAAAAGGAACTTCTATAATAGAACATATTAATTATATGCATCCACATTTTTAGCATGCTCAAATATGAAGCTTGAGTCCTGCTCTCCTAATATGAGTTCAGCAAAAGTTAGCTGTTTCCTTTTAAGAACCCTGTCAGAGCTGCCTGTTTATTTCTCTAGAATAAAAAATGGAAAGTTATTGGAAGCTTGATGTTCCCAAACTTAAAAAATCTATTGAAGCTTTGAATTTTGAATTTGAAAAGTGCCTTGCAATAGCAATAAAACATGCATCTGTTTGTGTTTGGAGTTCGATATAAGATTCGAAAGTTTTTTATGTTCACATGCATTTCGTTATATTTTAACAGTCTTATTTTGCTCCAAGAAGCTTTTTTGGGGTGGAAGATTTTCTTGATGATGACAACAGCAGACCATACACTTACCAGAAGGAGAAAAAGTCAAAAAATCCGAACAAGCATGTATCCTTTAAGCAACGTACTGTAGCTTACATGGAGCCATTCACTCTTGATGTCTTCATATCAAAGCGCTTTGTTTCCGCCTCAATCACGCACAGGGTAACAAGCAAGCAGGTTGCAGTCGCTGGTACTAACTCCAAAGATATCAAGGCAGTACTCAAATCACGATCTGACATACCTGCATGTTTGGCTGTGGGTCGAATTTTGGCTGATAGAGCAAGAGAAGCAGACGTGTACACAGCTTCTTATACTCCTAGAGAGAGAGACAAGTTTGAAGGAAAAATTAGAGCAGTTGTTCAGTCCCTCATTGATAGTGGCATAGATATCAAAGTTTTTCTTGATTGATCCTTGTTTTAGTCTTTTCCCGCAGTTTTTATGGCGATGTGCCTTCAAGATTCTTAGGGGCAAGATCTGTGACTTTAGTTTGTGAAACAGACTTATGTTTTCAAACTTGAAAGGTAAGAACTTTTCATCAAAGCATTTATGCTTCAATGAACTGAATTTTTTTGTATTAGGTCGCATCAATAAAATGCCAGAAATTAGAATATATTGTGTGGAGGGTTTCTTCTATTTTCCTACTTTAGAGTTGCAATTTATTTGAAAAATTATAATGAGGAACTGCCGAGTTTTTCTTAGCACCTCGATCAGTTTTGGTCGATGAACAATGCAATGAAATATGTGAAGCATTGGATAAATCTTTGTGAATGATGAATTTAAATGCCAATAGGTGTTCTACTTGAAGCATTAGATTGTCTCTCTGGTGTGATTCAATAAACGCAATCTTCAATCAATTGATTTCTAACCCTGCTGTGGATAGGGAAAAACTGTACAAGGAATTTATAGGGCACACTGGACATTTTTACATTAGAAGTTGGCCAAAATAACAATAAAAATAAAAATACAAAAATAGATAAATAAAGGCAACCATATAAGTGCTGTCAACGCAGTATTGACATGCACCCTGTACAAAATTCCCTGTACAAGGGGAATGACCGAACTCTGAAAATGTATAGTTGGTGGAAGAAAAAAGGATAATAATGGAATATAATAATGTAGCAAAATGTAGAAAGTAAAACTTATCGACTGATTGAATCTCGTGATAGCATGATAACTTAAAGTGAAATTGCCTACCGTTAACTATTATAACCTCCGTAGACAATTACTTGTAGATACAACAATCAAACATATAACTCATACAACAATCATAAATAGTTTCAGAATTCTGAAGTGTACTCTAACAAATAGATATAATTGTAAAACTTGAGTATGAAAAATTACAGAATATGAAATTGATAATTTCGTTTTTTTTAATGTCTCTTTTCCAAAACTAAATGTGTGTTTATATGGGCAGAATAAATATAACTACCTCCACCATATCCATAATTGGTTGCAGTTTAAATGTGTTGTGGAAAATGGGTAGTTGAAAAACGATCATATTATATTGGTTAGTTTGACCCATTAAATAATTCTAAAAATGATTAAAATAAATAAAAAATTATTATTTTAATCAAAGAAGCCCAAGCTCCCAAGGCTCAATCAAAGACTTTTTAATTATTGGGTGGGATGTAACCCTAACCCCCGACATCCCAGACTAATTATACATAAGAGTTTTGTAGGGATTGTTTGCTATAACTAAAAACCTCGTCCGCTTCTTTGAAATGGTTTAATTGGAACTTTAAGTTGCTCATTGAATTGGTTAATACTGAAGGTGCTCAAACTGGAAGTAGATTTTCTCTTGTGCAGAAATCTAGTTTAATATCCGGCAATGAACAACTTACCTAAAGGTTACTCTTTAAGTGGTACATGGTTAGTCCTTGAATTTCCTTGAGTTTCAAGACTGATTTAAGAGTAGCTTCTGCAACAGAAGGAATCATATTGATAATTGAATATAGTAGCACTTTATTCTAGAAATGAACAAATGCCGCACTTTCCACCAATTGGGTATTTCATCTAAATTAGTTATTTCTTTTACATATAATATTTATTGTATAAATATCTAACAATCCCCCCACATGAAATAAGTAAGATAAATATAAATATTAATCTGGATTATGGTAGAAATCACGTAGGCTTCGGTGTCTATCAACTTGAACATTGACTTTGTATATTCTATCGAGTTTGCTTACTGTTTATTTTCACTGTTGAGGGAATCGTACCTTAACCTTAAAAGTACCTTTTGATGTCGTTTGATCCAGAATTTTTTAATTATAAAAAAGAAACATAGAATCCAGTAGCATAACAAAAATAAAATAACACCTTTCAACTCAGTTTATGCATACGAATGATGTTTGAGGTGGTCCTTCTCCCTTGATGAGTAAGACGAGCTGTGGTATTCTTGATTTGGTAAAACAAGACAATTTGCTTATTTAATAACTCAATTTTAATAAAAAAAAATATCAAATAAATAATGAAATATTTATAAACTTACCTCGAGAAGAGTGACATTTTGATTTCTTAAAACGTCCTGCATAAGGTTATCAGAAAGGCAATTCAATATGGTATAAACAAAGAAGTGCAATCGAAAAATACAATGCAAGAAGAGTTATATCATCAAGAGTCCATGAACTGACCAGAGTCTTTTCCTTTGTCCCTTGAACGGTGTCCCATTTCCTTGACTTTATCTCTGTCCCTTCACTATTCTCGCGTCCTCGTTCTCTTTCAAATTCTCACCCTCTATCATGATCTCTGCTCTTTGTTCTTTCTTTCTCCCTATCGCTGTCTTTGTCCCTTCCCTTGTTGCTTTCACCATCAACCTTTGTTCAATGATCAGACATCAATTTAGACTCTAGATCTCCTCTCGACTCTTCCCTAGTGGGCATGCTTTTAGAGTCATTGGCACTCTTCAACTCCTCCATCTTGTCAAGAGCAGCTTTTACTAGTACATCCTTACCCACTTCCTGAGTTGCAGCTGAAAAGGACCCTTTTGCAGTACTATCTTCATTTGCAGTTGGTCCAGTCGGGGAACCATCCTAAACAAAAACAAAGGGCAAAAAGAGTTAAAACTTACCTAGATATTCCTGTCAGAAGCAAGTCAATTATTCCAGATTTCTTTAAAATACACTAATAATTAAGTAAAATGATGAATTATTCCCCATCGTCAACTCAATTTTGTCCTGGCAATTTGATTGGCACTTGGCTATACAATAGAAGCATAAAGCAAACAGGAATAACAAATTGGGGTTACACATCAAACTGAAACAATTTGGTTAAAGCATGTGTTTACCTTGGCAACAGACTCATGTGGTGAATCCCATGATCGATTAGATGTTGCAAATGAACATCGTTCCTTGCTTACAGGTATATATTTTGCCTTTGGAAGGGTGTATAGGTGGGTCGGAACTCTACAAACCTCATCTATACCAGACTTATCAGCATCAAATGCTTTCCACCATGGAGGATTCTCTAGCAGTGGCACTTGAAATCTTCGGGCTGTAGCATATATATCACCACATGCCACAACTTCACTCTTGAACCTAACACACAAAGTTGTGCGCAAGCTATTCATCAGATAATATAAGGATCATTACAACTTATTAGAAGACTTTGAGGACAAGAGCAGTGTTCACGAGTGCATAAGAAAGAAATACCAACCAAATATATCAGATCATCAAACTGATATAAGGAAAGCAGAAGATCCATGGTCAAGCTAATGTACATTCAATTCGATGCTACTAATCTTCATGCTAGGTTAGCTTCTTAAACTAAACAGATGGTGAAGATCCTTAAGCTTGTAGCAAAGTAAAAATTGCAAATGCAAGATTCCAAATATTGAACTCCATCTGGTGGAACATTTAAAGAAATTGTTTCGAATAGAGACAAATGAGAACTAAATCCATCAAGAAGTTGAAATTTACATGTAAGTTGCCTTACTACAATTCTATCATGAATGGATATAAAGAGATTTCACTATGCATAGAAGTATGTGAACCAAATACTCAATAGCTCCACAACAAACTATGCTTATTTAGATTTGAGCCTCGCTACATGATCTTTTTTGCCACTCTTCAGTTCATACTACATCCATTGAGACATTCTAGATAAATATATTTTTAACGACGACACAGACCATATACCTTTAGTGTATTGTCCCATTGGGTTTTGATAGCTGTCATCATAATCCCCTTGGACTAATTAAGTGCTACTATTTGATTTTCCACCAAAATTTAGGAGGGTGATGGGTCCAGTTGAACAATTCTTAGACATCCATGATCTGCAATATTACAATTTCACGAACCTTTCTATATCAACTATAATGCATGCTAAACGCATTATTCATAGAAATCTAAGTACAGTCTACGTGTTTGCACGCATAATTTTTTTCCTAGCTCCAAAAATTTACCTATCATTTGCAAGATTCCAAGCTTCTTGCCTTAGTTTTGGAGGAGTTCCAAGAGTAGCAAGATAATTCGACATAAACTTACGAGGATGCTCAACATGGCAGATGAAACTCATTCCTTTCAAAAGATGTCTCTCTGTTCTGATCAAATTTGCCTTCAAATTTACATATTTCTACTGGCAAACAATTCAATATTTACAAAATATATGACTAAAATTAAATAAGAAAGCAGATATAATTATATATCCCTACTATGTAAAAAGGAGAATGTAAAGTTACTGTAGAAAGCAACAGTCACTTGTTGCATTTTGTCTCACTGTAGCAATTTTTTTTTTCAAGTGGGGGAGCAAAAACGACGCCGTTTGTATTAGTATATATTTTATTATACAATGTACCTTTAAATTTACTGCAGCACGCAACTTTCCATGCCTCCCATCAAATCGCATAAACATGAGAAAAAATTCAATTTTATGTAAAAAAATATTAAAAAATAAAAATACTACTAATAATAATAAGATAAAAATATATTGCTAGAACTTACAGATTTATTAATAGAAAAAAATTGCTGAGTAAAAAAAATTTATAATTGTAAAAGCTACTTATATATATATATTATATAACTAAAAATATCAACTTAAAGTTTTAAGTATATTTGAGTTATTGAAAATTTGTTTCAAGTTATTTAAAAGTAAATAAAAAAAATTTATAATTGTAAAAACTACTTATATTATAAGTAAAAAAAAATTAAATGAAAGTTTTAAGTATATTTCTAAAATGTAAAGAGTTAGTTACAAGTAAAAAGTTTGCTTCAAGTTATTTAAAAGTAAAAAATAAATAAATTATCATTGTAGTTAGTTATTTATGTAGAAAGATATTAGCTTTAAAAAAATAAAAAATAAAAAATACTAATTCTCCGTGCATGAAGACGTCTCCTGTATTAATATTTTTCTTTTTTTTACATTATAGATAAAAAAAAATTTCTTCAATTTAAAATTCTTTTTAATTCTTTTCTATTAATAATAAAACTTAATTTTTCAATTTTAACAAAATAATATTTATATATTCTTTATTTAATTTTCGTAACTTTCTTTTATAATGTGAAGTTACTGTAGAAAGTAACAATGACTTGATCAATTTTGTCTCATTGTAGAAATTTTTTTTCCAAGTAGGGGAGTAAAAACGCTGTTTGTTTTAGTATATATTTTATTATACAGTATACCTCTAAATTTACCGCAACACGTAACTTTTCATACCTCGCACCAAGTCTCATAAATATGAGAAAAAAATTCAATTTTATGTAAAAAATATTAAAAAATAAAAATACTAATACTAATAATAATAAGATAAAAAGATATTGCTAGAACTTAAAAAGTTATGTATAGAAAAAAATTGCTAACTGAGTAAAAAAACTTATAATTGTAAAAGCTACTTATATATATTATATAACTAAAAATATCAACTTAAAGTTTTAAGTATATTTGAGTTACTGAAAATTTGCTTCAAGTTATTTAAAAATAAAAAAAAATTATAATTGTAAAAGCTACTTATATTATAAGTAAAAAAATATTAACTCAAAGTTTGAAGTATATTTCTAAAAGTTTGCTTCAAGTTATTTAAAAGTAAAAAAAAAAAAAAAATTATCATTTTAGTTAGTTATATATGTACAAAGATATTAGCTTTAAAAAAAAAAAAAATTACTAACTCTCTCCGTGCATTGAGACTCTCGATGTATTAAACTTATTTTTTATTATTATTATTTTTTTAAGATAAAATTTTTTTTCTTCAATTTAAAATTTTTTTAATTTTTTTCTCTTCATAATAAAACTTAATTTTTCAATTTTAACTAAATAATATTTACATATTCTTTATTTAATTTTTGTAACGTATTTTTATAATGTAAAGTTACTGTAAAAAGCAATAGTGACTTGTTCCATTTTGTCTCATTGTAGCAATTTTTTTTTTCAAGTGGGGGAGCAAAAACGAAACCGTTTGTGTTAATATATATTTTATTATACAGCGTATCTCTAAATTTACTGCAACACGCAACTTTCCATACCTCCCACCAAATCTCATAAATATGAGAAAAAATTCAATTTTATGTAAAAAAATATTAAAAAAATAAAAATACTACTACTAATAATAATAAGATAAAAAAATATTGCTAGAGCTTAAAAAGTTACTTATAGAAAAAAAAATTGCTAACTGAGTAAAAAAAACTTATAATTATAAAAGCTACTTATATATTATATAACTAAAAATATCAACTTCAAGTTTTAAGTATATTTGAGTTACTGAAAATTTGCTTCAAATTATTTAAAAGTAAAAAAAAACTTATAATTGTAAAAGCTACTTATGTTATAAGTAAAGAAATATTAACTCAAAATTTTAAGTTTATTATAAGTAAAAAGTTTGCTTCAAGTTATTTAAAAGTAAAAAAAAAAAAAAATTATCATTGTAATTAGTTATATATGTAGAAAGATATTAGCTTTAAAAAAAATAAATTGCTAACTCTCCGTGCACGGAGACTGGCAAGTTTTGTCTCCATGCACAGAGACAGTAGTCTCCTTGCATGGAGACAAAGTCTCCATGTATTAATTTTTTATTTTAACATTATAGATAAAAAAAAAATTCTTCAATTTAAAATTCTTTTAATTCTTTTCTCTTCTTAATAAAACTTAATTTTTCAATTTTAACTAAATAATATTTATATATTCTTTATTTAACTTTCGTAAATTTTTTTTATTTTCCTACTATATAAAAATGATATAAAAAGGAGAATGTGAAGTTACTGTAGAAATCAACATTGGCTTGTTCTATTTTGTCTCACTGTAGCAATTTTTTTTTAAAGTGGGAAAGCAAAAACAACGTCATTTGTCTTTACTTGATATATATTTTATTGTACATACGATAAAAAAGACGCAATCTAAATTTACTGCAACACGTAACTTTCCATACCTCCCACCAAGTTAGCTTAAAAATTGAAGTAATATTTAGATATATTTAATTCTTTAAATTAAATATTAATAAAAAGATTACTATAAAATTACATATCGGTTGGAATTATTAAAAAATAAAAATGCTAATAATAAGACAGAAATCATTTCTAAAATGTAAAAAAGTTACTTGTAAATAAAAAATTGAAGAAAAAAGAATTTTAAATTGAAAAAATTATTTATAATGTTAAATGAAAAAAAAAAAAATCCTCCGCGCACGGAGACTTGTCAAGTCTCCATGCATTGAGACAATGCTCCAAAAGCCTCTGTGCACGGAGGACTTTTTTTGGTTTATATTATAAATTAATTTTTTTTCAATTTAAAATTCTTTTTAATTTTTTTCTTATCATAATAAAACTTAATTTTTCAATTTTAACAAAATAATATTTATATATATTTTATTTAATTTTCGTAACTTTCTTTTATTTTGTGTTTATTATATTTTTTTGAAAATTGTTTTAAAATTTCTTTTTTCTTCATATTATAAATATTTTTTTCCAATTTAAAATTATTTTTAATTCTTTTCATTTAAAATGCAATTTTTTCAATTTTAATTAAATATTTTTATTTTTAATTTTAATTATTTCAATTTAATTTAAAAACTTTATAATAACTTTTTTTTGTTTCTTTTTATTTTTTTCTATAATTTTGTTGTTGTTTAATTTGTTAAATCATTTAGGGGCTGTTCTCTTTGTGTTTCAGTTTTGTGTTTTGAGTTTTGAATTCATTTTGAGTTTTGTGTTTTGAGTGTCCATTTTGAGAATATTAAAAACGCGTTCTTTTTGTTATTTTAGAAAACTATTTCTTAAAACACGAAACTAAAAAACGCGTTCATTTCAAACCCTAAATTCAATTCTTATCTCTCAATACCGCCACCGCTATCAAACATCAACTCCATGCCAACTATGGAGGGTCAAACCACCACTTTCCGGCTACCATAGCCACCGGATCATAGTACTAACTTGAAGCCCGCAATGTTGTCTACAAACCTCACCCAACAGTTGGCCCTAATCTCAGCTAGTCTGGCCGAAAATTCTGCTCAAAATCAGCCAGTCGGCCACCAAAATCAAGCACTGCACTATCGGAATTTTTGCTCAAAATCAACCACCACACCACCATGACTCAACCATCAACCTAAATCAACCCCACTACCACCACCATGAATCGTCAACCACTGCTAATCAACATTGCCATCCAAAATGAACACAACCACTGCCCGCCATCGCTACCACCAGTCACCACACCGTAATGCGCCGGTCAAAACAATTTACCAGCAAGCACCACCGAAAAAACCCATTGCCACTAGATCGAGAAAACCAAAAAACCCCCAAACCAACAGATCGAAAATAGAGAGAACTGTAGCTGAATTGGTCGCCAAACCCCCAAACCTCCCTTGGGTCGCGATGAATGGGTCGCTGTCCCTGGGTCGCGATAAAATGCAGCGTCTCTCTATTCGACCGCCAGTAGAGATGGGCCCAAACCCTGGGCCACGACGCTGCATTCACTACCCGTCACCCCCACGTTGGTGCCGGTGCCGGATTGCAGCTTCGCTTGTTTCTCCTTTGTCGTGGACAGAGACGGGATTGGAAAAAAGAAATTGAGATTTGGTTTTGTGTCTTTGATATGTGTTTCCCGTGTTTTCCACCATTTTGGAGATTTCTGCTGAAAACGTCCAAAACGGTATTTATGTCATTTTGGGTTTTTAGTACAATTTTTTGTTTTGTTTTGAAAAACGCGTTTTCGAAAATGGGGAAGAGAACATGTTTTCACCGTTTTGGAAAACTGAAAACAGAAAATGACCCGAAAATGATAAAGAGAACAGCCCAGTTTTTGTTCCATTTTGTCTTATTGTAGCATTTTTTTAAGTGGGGGAGCAAAAACGACGTCGTTTGCCTCGCTTGATATATAATTTATCATACAGTAAAAAAAAGTAATTTAAATTTACTACAACACACAATTTTTCATAACTCCCACAGAAAATTTAAAGTAATATTTAGATATATTTAATTTAAAAAAATAAATATTAATAAAAAATTACTATAAAATTAAATATCATTTGGAATTATTAAAAAATAAAAATACTAATGATATAAGACAGAAAATATTTTTAAGAAGTAAAAAGTTATTTGTGAGTAAAAAAATTGAAGAGAAAGGAATTAAAAAGAATTTTAAATTGATCGAAAAAATTATTTATAATATAAACAAAAAAAATTAAATTAAATCTCTCCGTCCACAGAAACTTACTGTAGAAATGAACAGTGACTTGTGCACGGGGTCTCTTAGTTTCCATGCACGGATTGCATGGAGAGTCCGTATCTCCATGTATATTAACACATTCAAACTCATCTTGACTTTTGCGGCACTTATTAGCTTCTTTGAGCAAGTCGAGTGCCATTAGTAACCATAGATCTGTGGATAGGGGGATGTGTGATTGCTCAAGTTATCAGTCTTTT